GAGAAATCAGTAGTATAACTATCTTAAATAATTTTTATAAATATGTACATTATATACATACACATATACATGCTTTTTCTGTCAGTTTCTCACACTAGTGAAACAATGTTTACGCATGTGTCTTATTTATTTCACTAATGAGTATGTTCCCAAGTTGCATCCATTTACCTATACAAGTCTCCAATTTATCCTTCTTTATGGCTGAGTAGTACTCCATTGCACAAAATATATCTTTTATATCCATTCCTCAGTTAACAGGCATTTAGGTTGTTTCCAAGATCTATCATAAACTGTGTTGTTATAAACATGGGTGCACATATATCACTGCAGTATGTTTTTAATTCTTTTGAGAAGATACTATAAGGAGTATAGCTGGGTTGAATGGGCCTTCTAGACCAAGTTTTTGGAAGACTCTCCACACTGCAGCGTCTCCATGGTTGCATCAATCTGCATTCCCACCAACTGTGGAGAAGGGTTTGCTTTTCACCACAGTCCCTCCAGCATTTGTCACTGCTTGATTTCTTGATAGCACCCGTTCTTTCTAGGTTGAGGTGGAATCTCAGTGCTGTTTTAATTTGCATTCTCAAATGACCAGTGATGATGAACATTTTTTCACATATTTATTTGCTGTTTGTATTTCTTCATCTGAGAAGTGTATACTCATTTCAGATTCCCCCTTTGGATTGGGTCTTTAAATCTGGGAAGACTGACTTTTTGAAAGTTCTTTGTGTGTTCTCAATAGTAATCCTCTGTCTCAGGTACAGCTGGCAAACATTTTCTCTCATGTTGTGGGCTGACTCTTCACTCTGTTGGTGATTTCTCTTACTGTGCAAAAGCTTTTCAGTAGAGTAAGATCCCAGTTGTTGATTCTTTGTGATAGTTCTTGTGCAACTGGGGTTTTGTTCATAAAGTCTTTGCCTAACCAATATCTTCAAGAGTTTTATCTACTCTGTTTTCCAACAGATTTAATGTTTTTGTTTTAACAGCAAAAGTTCTAATTTATATGCGATACTGATATATCAAATATGCATTCTGTACCTTTCATGGTAACCAAAAACAATAAAAGAATTTATAACTATCAACCTAACAGAAGGGGAAAACAGACTAATAATAAAAATATTTAATCAATTCAAAAGATAGTAGGAAAGAAGAGAAAAATAATATACTGCAGCAAACAAAATGAAAACCAATAGCATTATGGTTAAGCTAGATCCAAGTTTATCAGTAATTACATTCAATGTGAATGGATTAAATACTCCAATTAAAATGCAACGTATTAGACTATATTAAAGAAAAAATATTCTACTTATAAAATGTATTCAAGAAAATCATGAAAGTGAAAAAAATGTAAAAAGATAAACCAGACATACAAATGCCAACCAAAGGAAAGCTGGTGTAGCCATGCATGGTGTGCATGATCCTGTCTCAAAATTTTACAAAAGGCTAAAGATGTAGTTCAGTACCAAGGCCCTGGGTTCAACTCCCAATACCACCACTACCACTACCACATACACACAAAGTAATGAATAGGTTTCAAAGCATAAAGAATATTTCATACAGATTACATAGATAAAAGTTTTAATTCACTGGTAGGTTTGACAACTCTAGATTCATGTGTACCTAATTATATACTCTTTAAACATTTATAGCAAACACTTGCAAAAAACGAGAAATATACAAATTTAAAATAATTGTGGAAAGTTTCAACACATCTCTCATTAACTGACAGATCAACAGACAAAAATAAAAACATAAAATAATTAACAGAATCAATTTAACTGACTATATTCAGGAATTATACGAAATAATTGACCACACACAAGGTCCAAGTATTTAAAAATACTGAAATAAAAAAGTATACCCTATGAACACAATTATGTAGCTTAGATAGGAAGAAAAACAACTAGAGAATCTAATAGATTAAGAAATTTCCCTATAAACAGGCCATGGTTTAAAGGAGAAATAATTATGGATACTAGAAAATGTTTTAAATTTAATAATAATGAAAATACTACTTAGTAAAACTTATGGGATGAAGGAAAAGGTCTGTTTAATAAAAAAATGTGTAGCCTTGAAGTGACCATATTAGAAAAGCTAATGAACAAGGATCTTTATCAAAAATTAGAAAAAAGAGAGTAAGCACCTCCCTAAAAAAAAAACCCCAGAAAATAGAAAAATATAAAGATAAATAAACAGAAGAAAAGCATTCAATAAAAACCCATTGGTGAAACTGATCAAGGACAAACTAAGAGAAAATATGAGTGAGCCGGGTCTTGGAACGACTCGCCCTGGAGACCTGATCACAGCGTAAGAGGACAGACACTACGAAGACATGTCTGCCAATAATTTAAAAATTGAGAAACGATAGAAATGTACAACTTCCCAAAGCTGACAATGAATATGAAATCAGAGCAATTTTATAACTATTAAAGAAACTGAATCTATATTTAAAACCTCTTAATAAAAAACCTTATATTGCTTAATCTGGGAATTCCACCAAATATTTATGAAAAACAAAAGATCAAAACCACAAATCTTGGGGCTGGGGATTTAGCTCAGCGGCATAAGCACCTGCCTTGCAAGCAGGCAGTCGTAAGTTCAATCCCAAGAAAAAGACCAAAAAAAACCAAAACAAAACAAAAAAAACCAACCAAACAAACAAAAAACCCCCCACAGATCTTACACAAGCTTTCCAATAACAGAAAAGGATGGAATATCTCCTCAGTTGTTCTTTAAGGCCAGTAAAAGCTGACTGCTAAAATCAACAAGGATAGGACAAAAAAGAAAAATTATACCAGTTTCATTCATGAATGTAACTGCAAAAAATGAGTAAACTAATCCAGTGACATACAAAATGTGTAACAGACCACTGACAGGTTGGGTTTAATCCAGGAATACAAGTTATTTTAAACTAAGGAACAAAATTTTTACTTTCATTTCACTTGATTTAAATTTCAAATTTAACAGTCTTATATAGCTATAGCTCTCATACTGGACAAAGAAGTAGTACAAGATAACACAGAGAGATATATTCACAAATTTAGAGCAAGTACATGTTTAAAAAATCTTTTTTTGCTTTAGTCTTGTTAAGTTCAATATCGGCTGATTCCTTCTTTTAAAAATATGGGTCATACTTTTCTAATTTTTTGCATATTTAATGTTTTCCTAAAACTGTATTTTGTATGTTGTGGATGATAAAAGTGGAGATTCTGGATATTTTGGTTTTTCTTTAAAGTGGCTGACTTGTTGTTCTAATAGTGGGTTTAACTGCTGGCTGGCCACTCTGAATCTGACTGCATATGCTGCCTCTGTGCTTTATTAGAGTAGATAAACAGAAATCTCTATTTCTATGTATCTCTGTTTCTCTAGCCCCTCTCTTTCAGAGGGATCATGTTCCAAACTGTTTCCTCTGTAGAGTTTTGCAGGGCTTTGTTTCTGGTGGTTTTAATTAGAGTAGGACTTACTCTACCTAGGGTGTTATTCCACAGTTGCTTCCCTAGTGTCTCGGCAGGAGCCAAAGATTTAATTAAGTGTTAATGAGGTAGCATCATATTAGCCGGCCAGAGCTCTAAGGTACTGCTTGACCTCTACTATCTTTCTTCTGCTTTCAACTCAAAAGCAGTCTCTTAGGTTAAGCCTTTAGCAGCTCTGCCCTGATACAAATGATAAATGGGCTCATTTATCAGCCAGAAATTACTGGCCATCTTTCTTCTCCTCAGCTCTCTTCTTTATGTATCAGCAAAATACACTACACTTACAGGAACTGACATCACTATAATAGCATACAAATGCATAGTAAAAATGTCTAAAATGAAAAAAAACACAATCCATTGACCAAGTGTCAGTCATGATGTGTGAGGAACTTCATGTACTGCTAATAGGTCTGTAAACAAATGCAACTGCTTTAGATAAGCTTGGCCTCATCCAACAAAGTAGGAAGACACTAATAACCAGAAATTCCACTCCCAGATATGTCCAGCAGGGATGCTGAAGGGAGGCACATGTTTGAGAGTATTCACACACCACTATTTGTGCAGTCAGAACAGTCCAATGGTTCATCAAAAGCAGAATGGACAAACCATATATTCATGCAATGGAATATTCTATCATACAGTGATTTCATCCACTTGCCCCTCTAAATCTTTCTCAACCCTTCCTACCATGCTATGTGCAAGCAAAGACAAGGAACAGGTGGGGTTAAGCATGGTGAAATGGTTGTTTTTAATTCATCATTCTTTTTTTATTTATTTTTGAACCAGGGATTGAACCCACAGCCTTGCACTTTGCCAGACAGGTCTTACGCCATTGAGCTAAATCCCTGGCCCTTGAAATGGTTCTTTTTAAAGAAATGAGATACCCTTTTTTTTTAATGACCAGTTCTTTTTTTTTTTTTCTTTGAGACAGGTAGTTTAAGTTCACTATGTAGACCAGACTGGTCTTGAACTTGCAGTGATCCTCCTGCCCCAGCTTTCTGTATGCTGGGATTAGAGGCACATACTACCATGCCCAGCTATGGGATACCCTTTTTCTAAGATCAAAGAAAAAGTAACAAGTTAAATGCAGGAAAAGTAATATATGTGATGATGGCATCAAACTTCCTCATGAAGTCTGAAAATAAATGTAGTCTACAAAACTAGTATTTATTCATTGTTTATTTATCAGCATTATTAATGTACCAAATGAAGTATAACATCACGCCTGTTATGAAGTTTTTTTTTTTTTTTTTTTTTTTATATAATGTAGTTCGGGTTGCCTTTGGACTCACTATGTAGCCTCAAGCTGACCTTGAACTCCAGGCAATCCTCCTACTTCAGCCTACCAAGTGCTGGGATTACAGGCGCAGCTCTGTTACCAAGTTTTTACTGTTGCATAACAGTCTTGCTTTTGCAATAATGATTTGGGACAATGTTTTACATAGTCTTTGAAGCTAAATTAAGAACGTGTAATCAGTATTTATAAATTAAATGAGCCTAAATACCTATAAGAAATAAAATACTTACTTGACTGACATGCACTGGTGTTAAAATTAAGTCCAGAACTCCCGACCAGCCAGCAAATACACCGAGTGGTATAGCATATGCTAAAGCAATCATCAGAAATCTCAAATTGCTATAAAAGGGAAGAAAAAGCATTACAAATTAACAATCTAGAATTTAAACCATCACTCATGGAATATGAAACTGGAAACACTAGAATCAGAAACAAAAAAATATTTTTCAGCTTGTTATATACTCTAGTTTCTTTACTCAAGTTTCTAAAGTTCAATATAATCAAGTTTCTTTAAATTTTTTATTTGTATAAGAATAATTTTTTCTTAATAATGTTTAAAATTGCCAATGTTTACTGTATTATATTATTCACTTAGTTATCAACATGTCTTCATAGAATGACTAGTCCATCGGTTCACTTTTAAAAAAACTCATCTGAGAGGATAATTTACTGATTCTCTGCATGAATAAGGAAAAAGCAAAGATTTAACAGAAATGTATAGCTAGCTTTTATTTTTTATGTATGTTTTAGGACCGGGGATTGAACTCACAATCTTGCGCTTACCAGGCAGGTGCTTGTGCCACTGAGCTAAATCCTTGGCCTGTTTGCTAGTTTTCAATTCTTAGTAGCTTTCCTTTTTGTTTTCTTCTTACTAAAGATTTTATTAATAAAATAGTTTAATAGTTTAATTTGCAAGGAGTGAAAAATCACAAAACATACAACACAATTCTCCCTCTTACTTCTATTTAGCTTGTTCCACAATTACCAGTGTGTAGCTATGGGTAACTGCTCCAAAATATCAATATAATAAGCCAATGCACATATACAAGGATGACTGAAAACTATAGTGAATGATTAAATTTTTAAAATGTATCATATTTAGACACATTGCCCTTAACCTTCTTCAAAATACTTTCCATCATTCTTGCCACTTTCTGAAGTAATTCTGGAATTCTTTTGTGCCTTTATGAGGTATGCTTAAAAAATATGGCTATTGTTGTTGCCAAGTGCCACCAACAGAAAGGGAGGCTCATAAAAGCTGATGGTATATTCTCATCCAACTTCTTCATCAGATCTGGCATTGTACAACTTCTGGCTCAAAGTCAAAATGACCATGAAGGTTAAGTGTTTTGAACTGATTCAGACACTGAGGCAGCCTTGATAACACAGCTAAACACATCCACAAAGTGGACTTCAGAAAGCAGCAGGAACACAGCGTAAGTGTGTTGAAAGCAAGGGGGATATTTTGAGGGAGATTAATTGCAATGTCTTTTAGGGTAGTAGTTTTTAAAATTTAAACACACCAAATTTTTCAGGCAAACCTCATCAAACACATTTTTTTCCTCCAATCTTTTACAAGTGACAGCATATTACCATATTACAATCATGGGCTAAACCTTCTTTGTTGGTACTGCTGGGGATCAAACCTGGTTCCTTGTTGTATATGTTTGGCAAGTGGTCTGCCATTGAGCTATTTACCTGCCTCCTTAATCTGGCTCCTCTAACTTGACAAGTTCTGTGGCTTTTTCTATAGTCAATGTACAAAGAGGTTCTTTGTTCATTCTTACAGCTGTATATATCATAAATTCATTCAACCACACTTAGAGTGTGTCTATCTACATATCTATGTATATAATTTTATTCTTTGTCCTTACAAAGCCATTTCACATTTAAGCACACTCGTATGCTTGATTTCTAGATACCTAATTCTTATGCTGAAGAGTATGTGTATTTCTAACTTTTTTTTTTTGTACCATGAATCAAACACAGGACTTCGTGCTTACTAGGAAGGTGCTGTGATACTGAGCTATATCCACAGCACATATTTGTAACTTTAACAGATAATAGTAACTGCCCTTTATAGAAATTGTATCTCTAGCCTGCGCTGCAGTGGCATTAGTCAGCCATCCCTGGCCCAGAGAGCATTGGTGAGATCTCCTTGGGCTGAGCCATGCCCCTGGTTGGGACCCAATAGCCAAGGACAAAACTGTCCTGACCCTGTGATGTCCGCAAAGCACAGGCTAAGTTACTGAAGGCACTTGCGGGTTGACTGGCTCAGAGGCTAGAGGCTAGCCTATATCGTCCCTGTGTGCACCTCAGATAACAGCAAATTGGACAGGGCAGCAAAACCCCAGTCAGCACACTTCAGAAAATCTGTAAGCAATATGGAGAGGGCCAGGTACCTCCACAACACACTTGTCCGAAAGAAACCAGAAACATGACAAGAAATAGAAATAAAAAAACCCTCCAGCCGCTGACCCTGGGAAAATAAGCCTGGGAGAGGTAAATACAGAAGAGACCAGTGCAGCAATCATGCAGTATTAGCCACAACATCAGTGGACATAAAGAAATAACCTTCATGACCTCACAGATGAACTTAAAACAGAAATTCTAATCCAAGTGATGCAAGATATAAAAAGATTAATTAAAGAAATGCTAAGCCCTTCCCAAGAAAACACAGATAGAATAATGGAGGAACCCAGAAAAGGAAGAGAAACCTCTGATGAAGAATATAAACAAAACCTAGAATACATGAAACAGATCCAAAGAGATTACCAGGAAACTAAAAACTCCATTGAAAGCTGGCAAAATGCCTTGACAGAAACTAAAATTAGCCTTTTGAAACTTGAAGAGAGATTTATAATATGTGATCATGAAAGAAAAGATCTCTTAAAAATAACAAGGAATCAGGAAGAAACAATTCAAAGGCTAGAAGATGACAAGAGGATCTATAACTTAAGAATAAAAAATGTGAGTGAAGAAGCAGGAGTAACCACAAATGAATTACAAAGACTATTCACAGAAATAATTAAGGAAAACTTCCCAACCATAGGAAAAAGAAATGATATTCAGGTAAATGAGGCATACAGAACTCCAGCCACCTACAACCAAAACAGATCTACACCCAGACATGTAATAATCAAGATACCAGAAATCCACCACAAGAACAGATTATTAAAAGCAGCCAGAGAAAAGAAGCAGATCACCTGCAAAAGAAAAATCAAAATAACAACAGACTTATCAACACAAATTCTCAAATCAAGAAGAGCCTGGGGAGAAATAGTCCCTGAAAGAAAATAACTTCCAACCCAGACTGATGTACCCAGAAAACTTCTTTCTCAAAATTAATGGAGAAATAGATATTTCCAAGGAGGAAACAAGTAGGAACGGTGGGAGTTCATGGCCACCAATGCAACCCTACAAAAAATACTGAAGGACATTCCAGAGAAAGAGAGAGAGAGAAAAAATACCAGGATTCCAGCAACAGTGGCAGAGAGGTTTCAATGAACAGGGCAGACAGTGGAATGAAGGAGTAAAGTGGACAAATAATAGCAGAAAACAGAATAGCAGAGATGAGGCAGAGAAGGAATTCGTCCTTGTACAGCGGTCTTATATGTCTTTTTCATTTCATGTGTTTATAGGAATGTTTTGTTTTGTCTTGCTTTGTTTTGCTTCTCCCTCTAATAGAGAAAGGATACAAATACATGTTAAGACTTATGCATGTATAGAACCAATGAACAGTTTATGAGAACTGATCTTATGACACATGAAGAAATGAACAAATACTTTGAAGAAAAAGAGACAGTACGGTACCCAGTGCTGATTCAGAAGTATCATGATGTGAAACCCAGCAATACTATTATTCTTTGCTCAGAGTGATTTTTTGTTGAACAGAACTGGCTGCAGTCTCCCTGTTTGAAACCCCACTTTATATGTTCCACTTTTGTATCTTTGAATAACTATAAGAGGACAATATGTATTTCTTACTGTTCATTCTTTCTTTGAAAGTATGTATTATTTATACCCATTTTCTGTTTTGTTTAGTCTTTCTTTAAATAAATTTTTTTTTGTCTTTTTCCTTTTTATCAGTACCAGGGATTGAACTCACAACTGCCTGCTTGCAAGGCAGACGCTTATGCTGCTGAGCTAAATCCTCAGCCCCTTAAATAAAATTTTAAAAAAAGAGCAAAGGGAGGGAAAGGTGGAAACTACTGTCAATTTCTTATTGTCTTATCTTGAACTCTTGCACTGTTTACGTAACTTTATTAGGTTTGGCTCTGTCCTGTCTTCTGTTAGATTTTATGCTTTCAGATGTAAGGGCAGCTATTTTGAATATAATGGGAAATACTATGGTAATCATGGTTTCCTATTATATTGTTTTGAAGTTTTTTTTTTTTTTTTGGTCTTTTTTGTTTTTACTGGTACCAGGGATCGAATTCACGACTGCACACTTGCAAGGCAGGCGCTTATGCCACTGAGCTAAATCCCCAGCCCCTGTTTTGAAGTCTTATAATGCTTTCATTCATTGGTATGATTTTATTTTGTTTTGTTTGATTTTATTATGTGAGATGGTAAGAATGCTATTTTGAAGAAAACAAGACATTATGGTAGCTATTGCTGATTTACTATCATCTTGCTTTGAAGTCCTACCATGCTTTTGTTCTTCTGTTTCCATTGGTTCTATCATGTTGTGTCTTATTGGATTTTATTATGTGTGATGTTATAGACAAATTTTTTGAGGAAAATTAGGTATTATAGCAGCCATTGTTCATTTCCTATTATTTGGTTTTGAAGTCCTGTAATGCTTTCGTTCTTTTGAAAGTTTTTATTACTATATTGTTATGTTTGATATTATTGTGTGTGAAGGTATGCTCAACTATTTCAAAGAAAAGAGACATTATGTTAGCTACTGTTGATGTCCAGTTGTTTTGCTGTGAAGTGCTGTGTTGCTTGCATTTTCCTGTTCTGATTTGCTTTGTTTCATTCTGTTTTCTTTTGTTCTCTTTAAAATAAAAAAAAAAAAAAGAAATTGTATCTCTACACATCTATTGCAATGGCTAAAATAAAAATACACTGATAACACTAAAGTATAACCAGGATATGCAGAAAGTGGATAATTCAAAACACTGCTCACTTATTAATGAAAACGTGTATTGCCACCATGGAAAATGTATTGGCAGTTAGAAACAAACATTTATGCTTCTACCATATAACACAGTAATTGCACTCCTGGACATTTATCTCAGAGAAATGAAAGATATATTCACGTAAAAATCTGTATACAAATGTGTATAGCAGTTTTATTTGTAACAGCCCTAAAGCAGAAGCAATCCAAACAC